ATGATCTTGGTCAGGCCCCCAAAATTTTGTGAGTTTGACGTTCATTCAGCATTGTCCATGTGGCAGGCTGTAAACTTACTCCAGAAAGGCATCACCCAAGCTGCTCTTGAGTTCACGTTCTGGAATTGCTTATGTATATTCATTTCAATAATCTTAATAGTAAAAATATTTTATATGATAGATTCAATTGGAAATAGTAGCTCAAAGTCATTCAAAACAAAATTTAATGAAGAAAGGGTGCGATCAGGTAATTTTTGTTTAGCTTTTCAAATAAAGAGGTATGATTATAAAGCAAGAAATTTAGAAAGCAAATTGTTTATTCACTAAAGATCAGTGAGTGTACCATTCACTAGCTGATTCTGAAGGACATTCTGAAGAAGTTCTGTGAATGGGTGAAAGAACGGTAGTGTTTGGATCTCATGTTACCCTTTGGAGGGTCACTTTGAAAGAGGCTACTCATTAGGTGTGGGTGTCTTTGTAGCTTCCCAAAACAAGACTGTTATGTCATGATCACACCCTGTAAACGGTCAGTGAGAAATACGTAGTAATGGATGGTTTTACATTTTCTTTTATTTTTGGAAATATTTATTTGCATTTCAGTATACACGAGGCTGTGTGCTAGGACCTGCTTAACCTGTTTAGAGTTTTGCTGCTGTAAACATAGGCCAAGTTCTTCCTGAAATTTTCTCTCCCAACTTGACTTAGGTTTTCCTCAGCCTTTTGGCTGAGGACTATTTTGTTTTTCGCCTCATATTAGAACTTTTGTATCTGAAGCAGATTAGGTTTGTGGTGGAAGGAGTTAAAGGCCACTCTGCTAGGACGGTGGAACCCACTGTCATGGAAGCTGTGAGCTAGGGTTGGTGGTGCTCAATTTCACAGAGAACCTAAATAAAGCAACACACTAATCCAGTGTGACCCAGTAATAAAGTGTCCCGTGTCTTCCTGGTTGCTATTCATATCATTTGTATGACTTCCAGTTTCCTCACTGTTCTCTGACCAGTGTCATTGAAAATGTGTGATCAGCTAGTTACAAGGTCTCTAAAGGAGTGTGGGGGCGAGACTTAGTGTCTAGTTTCCCAGCGGTGTTCCAGCAACAGTTAGTGTGAGAACCTTGAACTGCATTGTGAGCCTGGGTGTATTACATCCTCCTGACCATATGTGATGTACATGTTCTAGAACACCCACAGAGTAGCTATCTAAAGTTGTCAATGTGCCTGATGTTCACGGGAAAGAATTGAGGTCGGTGGAGGGCCAGAGTATCGGGGATAGTTGAAGAGTCAGATGGGTTGGAATTTGTTGCAGCAGAAATGTCAGTGAGATTCGGGGTCCCCAGGGGTGGGAAGGCCTCTTGCGGAGATGAGATCACGGGTTTACGTGCGCTGGAAATTTGGAAATCAGAGGCAAATAGGGCCCCATATAAATAGCACAGGCAATTTCTCCTACGGTTTGTGTGTGGATAAAAAACCTTACCTTTTCTTACAACTTCAAAGCAAACTGGAAATTTGGAAATCAGAGGCAAATAGGGCCCCATATAAATAGCACAGGTAATTTCTCCTACGGTTTGTGTGTGGATAAAAAACCTTACCTTTTCTTACAACTTCAAAGCAAACATTTATTTTACAACAAAGTGTAGAGAAAATTTCTTTCTCACATTTACACTAATATCGCCATTGCCCGAGTGCAACAAAATAGTGAATGAGCCCTTAAATAAGACATGACAGGAGGCGTAAAGATTTTTGCGTTTACAGTGACTGTGCATGCTCATTATCCTGTGATAGCCAATGAAGGGACAGCAGTGACACTCTTTTAGGATATGGGGTCATTGGTGTGCTATTCAAAAACCTGACCATGTGTGATGCCTCCTTATGCTGCACATCCCAGATGCACCTGCACCCCCAGCCCCCGCCCTTGAAGTGCGTGCACCCCACGCTGCAGATCGCCGTATTTGCCGAGGGAAGGCAATCCAGGGGACACAGTGCAGTGATCCAATTAAAACGGCACATCCACGCACACCTCTTTTATAGCTTAAACTGCACTGAGTTTAGAAATTCCTGTCACACTTCATGCTAACTGTACTCTTTCATTTGCCATTTAAAAACACATTTGAAGGTTAATGGGATTGAAGGCAGGTGAGGTGCTGAGCATGCTCCATACTTTCCCTAGTTTGCTTAAGAGAAATGTGCGGCCATGTGGAAGGGAAAATAGGCAGAGAGGGAAAGCACGTGAGCTGAGGGAGAGGTGGCATCCCCTCTAACCATTCGAGGAACAGCTGTGAAACTTGGCCTTTCCTTCCTCCTCTGATGACCTTTCAGATCCTGTAACTCCCCTGTACGTCAGCTTTGTCTTGGGTGGACTTTGGGGCAGCCTGTCTTAGAGTGAGACCACTTAATGAGCAGGTAGTTCATAAAAAAGTCAGATGAAAGAGAAGCTTCCTTCTGTAGAACAGAAGACCTGGGTTTGGTCTTTGAGGTAGGAAAGCACTAGGCAGGATTGCAGAATCTTGATTTCTTTGGAGAGGTGTCAGAAGCCACATATCTCAGGTATTCACAAAACCTACAGTTACCGCTGTTTGTTTTTGTTGTGAGACTGTAGTTTTATATGCTTTTCACCGATGACAAGTAAATTGAATAATATGAGGTGGAATTACTCTTTTTTTCTCCTCTGTCTTTTATTTTATTAGCATATTAATTATTACAAATTATAATTATACTTACCCAACCAATCCCTCCCCAACCCTCTCTCTTTCCCCGATCTATAGTATCTTTAGGTCTGTTCTCTCCTTCTGAAAGTTCAGCGTATTATTATGGTCTTTTTTTCCTTTCTTTTCTTCTGTTTCTTTCTGTCCATTTATCTTTTTTTCTTTCTTTCCTTCTTTCTTAGCACCCAGTTATAAGTGAGGACATGTGGTATTTCTCTTTTTATGTTTGGCTTATTTCACTTAACATAATTTTCTCTAGGCTCATCCATGTTGTGGTAAATGGCAGAATTTCATTCTTTTTTATGGCTGAGTAATATTCCATTGTGTGTATATACCACTTTTTCCTTATCCAGTTGTCCGTCAATGGACATTTAGGTTGGTTCCATATTTCAGCTATTGTAAATAAACCATAAAATTACTAAAAGAAAACACAGGGGAAACATTTCCCCTTCTCTCTTATAAGCTAGTTGGAGAGATGACTTCTGGGCGTCCTTGGATTTTGATTTTTTTCTCTTGTGTTCTGTCCTAATACTATGAAACCTAATTTAATGTTAAGCAATTACTTTATGCTCATGTTTTACTGGGCATTTAGGAGGGCTTTAGGTTCAGACACGGAGAGGGTATAGAAATTCTCTGCTTTGGGCCGAGCCCGTGGCGCACTCGGTAGAGTGTGGCACTGGGAGCACAGCGGCGCTCCCGCCGCGGGTTCGGATCCTATATAGGGATGACCGGTGCGCTCACAGCGCTCACTGGCTGAGCGCAGTGCGGCCGGTCTCAAAAAGGACACACACACAAAAAAGAAATTCTCTGCTTCTAATATTCTTCTGCTCATTTCTGTGCTGGAATAAATTGTTGCAATAAGGAAAAGCGTGTACGTGCGTGTGTTTCAGAATGCACTTCCACAGCAACAGAACTAAAGTTGAGGGAAAGTTTCTAAAGTCCCTTAAGAAATATCACATATCAATAGAATTGGATACCTTCAAGTATCAAAGCACTATAGTAGGGGATATAGAGATCTCTAATAATTATTGATTAGAAATTCTTGTTTTGGCTCGTGTGTTTTGAACTTTTCATTCAGAATAATGTTTAGAGATAAAGCACTGATGATGCTTCATTAATAATGGGGGGTTTTACCCCATTTTACTTTCAATATCCAAGGACAATAACAGGTGACTAAAATGATTCCTAAAAATCAGATCCATACAGAAAAGATCTAAGGTGCGTTTTGAACATCAGGCACTTCCTGGTCCT